GCATTAAGAGTAATGACTGCTCGATTTTTTTTTTATCCTCCAGCATGTACGGAAGTTTGTACGTTCTAATAACGCTAGTCGGGTTTTATTATTAGATTTTATTCTTCGCAAAGTTCGATATTTAGTTCATTTTTTGCAACGCCTTATAAATTTATATTGCGTATAAATAGCTTCACTTAAAAAATGCAAATGATTTTTAAACGAGTCGAAAAACTGTTCTCTTTATTTGGATACTTCGTACAGAGAAGCCGAGGATTTCCTTATTTTACGGGGGGTGAAATTCCTGAGGGTTGCTCATCGGTTCCGTTTCCATTCTTTCGAGTGCCGGTTCGAAGTGCCGTTCATCCTCGATCGTTAGCTAATTGCCGCCGTAAATTAGACAGAGCCCGGGTCCGGTAGAGCCTCGTAACTCCTTCTTCATTTATAATCTGTTCCGCGAAATTTCCTCGTGGATGCGTGTTAATTAATGGCCACCGCACACACAGACACCGGGGGGGTGACCGCCTATCCATCTGGCCACTAATTAATTCCGCCACTGCTTTTCTTCGCGCCTCGACGTGTATGTGCATCGTTTCTGGGTTACTGGACGGTCTCATAAATTGTTTTAAATTCATTTTATTATCATAGACAGACAAATAAATTGGCATCGTGTCCTACATCGTATATTAAATTGATTAAATGATTGAGGAATTGACAAAATTGTTACGTGCATTAAAATTGACGTATGAGATTCCAGGCTGTGATCTTTATTAATAAACATTTTGTTGGGAATGTGCAAACATATTTTCGCGGTGCAAGTGGAAACCGGCTTCCGATCGCCGTTAACTTTGCCCTTTCCGGGCATAAATCTGGGAACGTTTCCTGCAGGAAATACATGGATTTCTTTCTACGTGAAATCGCTGGTCGTTCGTAAGCAGACCACATATTTTGATGCACGATTTTCATTATGTCCATTTAAAAAAATAGTATATTTTTTAATGCAATTAAATTTCATTCTGCAATTCATATTCTTGTTAAATCTGAGGGTGAGAAAGTGGTTCGTTCATGCCAATACGTGTCTGTGTCGTCTTCATTCTTATGTCTCTCGTCCTGTTTGTAAAACTACATCTGTGTGTGCCTTCGTGCCGTCATCTTCATGGAGAATAAGAATTGTTGAAGGGATTGGCGTCAGACAGAACGTAACGATTCTTACAGCCTGCAGGGAGAACGAATTCGAATGCACGCCGGGCTTTTGCGTGTCCATAAGGAAACAATGCGACGGTTACAGGGATTGTTACGATGGGAAGGATGAGGAAAATTGTGACCGCATAAGTACGAAAACTAATCACAGTAAACCATGTTATAATCCACGTGCGAGGAAGCGTACATCAGAGGCGCCCTTTGAGAATTGCATGCGAATGAGCAAGGAGCATGCCCTTTTTTTTTTTTTATTATAACAATAACTTACAGTTTAAGTTTCAAATTCGTTTCGTTATTAATTATTCGTGGGACTGTGGACAGAAAAAATCTTCAGTTCTGCATTTCTGATATTTTTATACATTACAGAGGACAGATTTATATTATGTTTTAATAATCCACAGTCTGACGATGATGTATCGCGAATCAGTAAAGATTGTGATATAGAATAATATTGAATCCTATCGAAACGATATGATTGATGACTTACTGATTCGCCGTACGTATTTCTACTGATCAGAATAATCAGGCATACGAATTTTATTCCAGTATTTATCGTAAATATTTAAGTAGACGAGAGAAACGCCGGGGCGCGTGATTATTGAGCCGCGTAATCGGTCGAGAATATTGCCGGGTCCGGTAATAGACGGTTGTTTCTCGAGTAATTAATTACGCGAGCCGGCGCTGGGAGAGAGAATAGTGATCGGTCGTTTCCTCTCCCGTACTCCTTCGGATCTTCTTTTCGTGCCAGTTGAACGAGGCGCAACGATTTTAATCCGATTCATTAAGATCGTTTTCCGCCGGCTAATCATCCGCCTCGAACGCCGTTGCCTCGGTAAACGACTCCGTTTCGACTCTACAGATCGATCGATAGATACCCCTTCCGAGTCAGTTACCAGCTGCTTTTAAATTGTTTCGCATCGATTCGGTTCTTTAAATAATTTTCGGTACATCGCCAGAGGCCATCGCCTCTCGTGAACTCTATCAGAATATTGTCTTTAAATACGGGTTTTATTTTATGTTGCTCCTCGTTTCTCTTTCAGTTGATCTTCCGATTTTTCTTTATTTATGTTTGTTTGCTCTTGATCGAAAACTTAGCTCGGTGTCGGCCGGACGAGTTCGAGTGTACCGATGGAACTTGCGTGAGCCAGAATGCGAGATGCGATGGAAGGCCAGACTGTCGAGATCATTCCGATGAGTACATTTGGGATTGACTGTATAGCCAATACATCCTTAAGGAATAATTGGCGATGAACGAAATAATTAATCGATTAGTCTCCAATTTATTTTTAATTCGAACAATTTAGGAATAAAAATTGTGAGACATTTTTGAAATTGTATTATCGTCTCGATAAGAGCAAGTAGCGATTACGGTCTCTATTATTGGATTTTGACGAAATTTTAGAGACGTGTCGAACGGTGATAAATAATTGATCGGGTAGACGAGGCACGCCCACGGTGACAATTCGCCCGGCTGTTAAGCGAACCCGAGAAAAGTGTATTGTTTCTAGTTGAAAAAACGAGGCGCAATTAATAGAGACAAAGGGGTAACCGGTTCTTTTCTCGTTCTTTGTAGACACGCGAAATGCACGCTGCTCACGCGCGCGGTAATTACGACCCGGAGGCCTCTGTGTCGCGTTTCCATTAAAACGTGGAACGTTTACACGTTTTCGCCCGTAGTTCGCACGCGAAAAATGACGGCACGCGATCAACGTTGAATAAAAACTGAATTCATCCACCGGATCGGACATTTTTTCCTGGCATTAAGAGTAATGACTGCTCGATTTTTTTTTTATCCTCCAGCATGTACGGAAGTTTGTACGTTCTAATAACGCTAGTCGGGTTTTATTATTAGATTTTATTCTTCGCAAAGTTCGATATTTAGTTCATTTTTTGCAACGCCTTATAAATTTATATTGCGTATAAATAGCTTCACTTAAAAAATGCAAATGATTTTTAAACGAGTCGAAAAACTGTTCTCTTTATTTGGATACTTCGTACAGAGAAGCCGAGGATTTCCTTATTTTACGGGGGGTGAAATTCCTGAGGGTTGCTCATCGGTTCCGTTTCCATTCTTTCGAGTGCCGGTTCGAAGTGCCGTTCATCCTCGATCGTTAGCTAATTGCCGCCGTAAATTAGACAGAGCCCGGGTCCGGTAGAGCCTCGTAACTCCTTCTTCATTTATAATCTGTTCCGCGAAATTTCCTCGTGGATGCGTGTTAATTAATGGCCACCGCACACACAGACACCGGGGGGGTGACCGCCTATCCATCTGGCCACTAATTAATTCCGCCACTGCTTTTCTTCGCGCCTCGACGTGTATGTGCATCGTTTCTGGGTTACTGGACGGTCTCATAAATTGTTTTAAATTCATTTTATTATCATAGACAGACAAATAAATTGGCATCGTGTCCTACATCGTATATTAAATTGATTAAATGATTGAGGAATTGACAAAATTGTTACGTGCATTAAAATTGACGTATGAGATTCCAGGCTGTGATCTTTATTAATAAACATTTTGTTGGGAATGTGCAAACATATTTTCGCGGTGCAAGTGGAAACCGGCTTCCGATCGCCGTTAACTTTGCCCTTTCCGGGCATAAATCTGGGAACGTTTCCTGCAGGAAATACATGG